AGGGAAAAGTTTGGCCCAGGAAACAGCAGTGGAACATCAACACAGAAAGGTTGTGTTGCATGGCTATTAAAATATTTTAAAATAATTATTCCTTTAAGTTACCTATTACTCTGTTGTGAGCAATTAAAAATCAAATGACTAAAAGCCCCCTTAAATTTGGTTAGAGCCTTATTCTTTAAGGCACTTTTAGCCTGATCTCAGTTGATTGGAAGAACACCCTTGTATTAGTTTGCTCCGTCTGCCATAACAAAATGCCAGAGACTGGGTGGTTTAAACAACAGAAATTTATTTCTCACAGTGCTGGAGGCTGAAAAATCCAAGATTGAGGTGCAAGTTGATGAGGATCCTGGTCAGGTCTCTTTCTGGCTTGCAAAGGACCACTTTCTTGCTGTGTCTTCACACGTCATGTGAGTGGGGAGAGACCTCTCTCTTCGTCCTCTTGTAAGGCTATCAGTTCTATCAGATTAGGACCCCACTCTTATGACCTCATTTAACCTTAATTACTTTCTAAAAGGCTTATTTCCAAATACAGTATGTTGGGAGCTAGGGCTTCAACGTAAGAATTTGGGAGGGGGGACATAATTCAGTCCAGAGTGACCCTTCTAAAGTAGACAATTTGATATACATAAGGTTAAAAAGCTAGTAAAATATTATAACAGGTTCAAATATAGTTATTTTTTACCTGACTCCACACTATCTTTCTTAGTCACAAATATAGTAAGCTAAGTTTTTATATAATTAGAATTGTAGTGACCAGGCTGGACTTGCCTTCTTAGCATTCTTCATGGTTATGATTTAAGTATCAAAATTGTCTCATTCTGTATTTTACAGAAGATGATCTAAGAAATATGGGACCAGTAGATGCTCGAGTATATCTTGAAGAAATGTCTTGGAATGAAGGTTGGAATTATTTTTTTTCTCTTGATTACAATCAGGAAAAATATTAGGGACCTCCTATATAAGAAAAAACCTTCATAGGATGTTTGGAAATAACAGCTTGGCTTTCTATATATACGTGGGTGTTTTTGTTTGGAATCTTTTTGTTTCATTCAAACTTCAATTATTGATGTCCACTTATGTGACTCATTTCCAGTTATTTTTCTATCCTAATTAGATGTTAGGTACTTAAGATTTCATATGGTTTTCTTTTTTAAACTACTTTGATTTTTTGTTTACTCTCCATCTGTATAACAGGGAATATAAAGTCAAAGGAGATAATTTTTTCCATCCTATGTTGACACTTGAGATGAATTCCTATTAGAATATATGTTTTTGTTTCTTTATATGGAATGATAAATTGTCAGAGCAGGATTTTAATGTTATACATGTTACACTCTTCTTCTTGGAGCTTGATGTTTAACCTCCTTTTTTGATTGTGTCTTAAGTGGAAAAGAAAAATCTGTCACTCCCTTTTACCTACCATGAAGTCATATATCTTTTTCCCCTTTCCTATTAATAGAATTTAAAAACTTAAATCTAACTTAATTTTCCATTCTTCAGATTAGTTCTGTGAATTGCTCTGGTTAGGTTTTATTAAGTTCCTTTTTTTAAAATGAAAGCCATGAATACCACAATTCCATGTTTCTCTGGGCAAATGAAGAAATCTTACTGTTTTCTAGGATTTTTATATACTCTTAGTCCTATAACTTTATTATTCAGCCTGGGGTACAGATTCCCTGGGGGTTTATAAAAATTTATTAGTAAGTGTGGATAAGTAGAAGATAAACAGCCTGTCCTTTCTGAAACCAAGTTTACTAGAATATTTTTTAATGGCAAATTCTTAGCTTAGTGCTCTTAGGAAGTTGGGTCACAAAGCTATATTGACTTAGAAGGGGAATCATGTTTTTGCCTATGAGCCACTCTGCTCCTAAACTGCCAGATGAAATCCTGGAGTAGAAATTCTTATTTGCAGTGAATGATTGGAAAACTTGAGATTTTGTGTAACTGGGGCTCCCGGGGTTCATGATAGTTTCATCAGAGTAAACAGGAAGAGCTACTGCTGTGAAAATAGAATACACGAGTGACACTGATTTCACTGCTACTTTGTGAAGGGGATAGATTAGAACATGTCGTTTATCAGGGAGGCTTGCCCAACTAAATATTTTTTGAAAATACAGTATTGCCAGCTTATCAACCAGTATATGTGTGTGTGTGTCCATCTCTTATTGGACAAATTAGTTCTTGCTGTAGTTGATATGACTAATATGTTTTGTTTACTAATAATTCCTGATAATATTAAAACAGTGAAAACTGGTTTTTGTAATTTTGGCTTCTTTAGTAAAATTTTAAAAATATAATCAATTTAAGATTTTATTTTAAATTAAGACTGTGGATTAGTGTGGTTCAAGCATCTGTTCAGTCAGCAAATACATGGGCTTTTTGATAACAAGTGAAAATGCCAAGACATTGAAAGACATATACAACATGAAATCAAGAATTATCATAAATGTTATTGTCCTTGGTACTCCCTAAAGTAAACTTGACAGTGAAGACGATAAAGAAGCATCCCAGCTACAGCCAATGAATCAGTTATAAGCAGCTACAGTTAATCTTAAAAAGTATAGGATGTTCTTAGATACTTATTTAAATTAAGGGTTTTTTATCACTGTAAAGATAGAAATAGTCCTTATCCTTACGAGAGAAAATAGTGAGCAGCAGCTACATGAAGCTGTTATCTTTGCAGGAATGTTTAAAAACTGGTCATGTGAGTTTTGCAGTTGAATTTGCAATTTGGAATTGTTCTGTGCGATTGCAAAGAGCAGCCTTGGCAGATGAAAGTACATAAAAAGTGTGATCTACTGGACTAGCAAAAGCATTTGATGATTCCTTCATGGGCGTTTTCAGAATAACCTTGGAAGGTGAAGATCCAGAATAGGAGAAAAGTGGATGAAATCCTACATGATAAACATAGCCAAATTATCAGCTTCTGGGCCCAGGAACAGTAGGAAATGGTGCATTTTATTATGCTTAAAAGGCATACCTGAAGAACTATTGAGAGACTGAAGTTAGCCATTCCCCTTACAGTTAGTCTGTTATACAGCTTGGTTCTTTTGTCTTCATTCAGTGTATTTAAAATTATGATTTCTGTGAAGATATCACTTTAAGTGATAGTAGAATAATTTAAGAAGAAATTTAAAAAGATGTGAGTTTTAGTGAGCATTAACATTTGGAGTCATCTATGACAAAACTCCACAGTAGCCCATGGTGGCCTCTGCATCATTTACCAAGCACATGTCACCTCAGATTGTTTCTCAGTGTTCACTGAGGTGGTGAAAAAACAAGAGGGAGATTTAGCTCAAGAAAACCAATGGTTAGAATATGTATTTTTAGACAATTTAATAATAAAATAGTTCACTTAGAAAGCATGCTCTATTACACATATATGTTGGCTCAGATAGGGAAGATGTTAGTGTTTTAAAATTCAAGATTAAATTATTTTCTTTATAGGGAAAAAAGACATTGTGGTGACAAATGAAAAGCAGGATTGTGAATTAATGTTTTCCTTACTGATAAAACAAACATGTAAAGCTGGCTTATTTAATTGCTTGTTTTTCCAAGACCAAAGCTGATTAGAGAACAAATCCAAGGCAGTTGAATATTTTTTCTTTTTCTTTTCTTTTCTCTTCTTTTCATGGCATATGGTGAGATCTAAGTGTTAAAAAATGAAGTTTGAGAATTGAATGAAGATATTTGATTGTAAGAAATCATATCTTTAGAGATTTAGTTCATTCATCTCTAATTTTTTTTATGACAGTAGTAAAATAATGAGATCAGTAATTACTTTCCTTTGACAGTCACTCCTCAGTGACAGTAAAATGGAATAACCAGTGGATCAGAGATTCTTTCAGCTAAAAGACAAAGTATTTCAACTTCCTAGGAAGATGAAACTTATAAAATTTCCCCCATTCGTAGGCAGAACATTGCACCATATTGCCTCCTTTGGGCATCTCACTTCAGTGATTGTCCTTTTGGTTCCTAAATCATTTGTAAACACCAAACAAACAGGTACACACACATAGCCCTCACAGAAAGGACACCATAGTATATGTCTACACATTTAAGTCAGGATTCTTGAAATAGTGTGATACCAGAACAGACAGGATTCAAATGCTGAACCTGATAAACAGTCAAGTCAGCAGTTTTCTCTGAAAGGATATACTGCTGGCAAAGGCATGCTCCTTAACAATAAGATAGGTAGGGCTGTTTCTCTTCTTCCTTCACAGTAATATTTTAGACAACCACATTGTTCAGAAGAATGTAAAATTTACATGAATCTTAAGAAAACAGAAGACTTCAAATAAATTTCATTGGTCACTTCTGAGCATCTGCTCTCCCCTACAGGATCTTTGGTCTATTGTTTCATACCCTCAGTACATTTCCTCCACAGATAAAGATTTTTTAGTAGATAATTTTTAGAAACACTGCCCCTATACGAGAAATTTTTTCAAGTTCTCATTTAAATATATTTTATATTGACTGATCTTTTTTCTTTTGCAGTTTCTGTGGAATAGCTGCATATTTTTAAAAGGTATTAACAAAGCAGTTACATGTAAGCATTTTGCTTTCTTTGCAGATGATCATTCTTTTTCTCGGAGTTGTCGATGTGGTGGAAAATACAGTGTTTCCGAGGATGAAGCTGAAGAAGTGACGCTGATTTCTTGTGATATGTGTTCACTAGTTATAGAACTCCTTCATTATCGCTGAGATTGTTCACTAAGTGGAATTCTTTAGTGTATTCAGACACAGGGAGGAAAATCTACTCCACCTTTGTCCATTCAAGCAAATGTATAAAGCTGATTAAAAAAAAAGATTCTTTTTTGTCAGCTCTGTTATTTGCAGAGAAAATATAAGACTGTCGAAGTCCACCTAGATTAACAGAAAATTAATTTCATTATTCATATGTATTTACATTTTATATTTACAGATCGCTAAGAAAGGGGGCTTGAATTAAAAATTATATTTAGTGAATTCCCATCTGAGAAGTTTATTATTGGTGCATTTTCTCCTTGGTACAAAATATAAGAATTTTCCTTTCTTCATATAAGTGTATCATCTTTTAATGGGTCACAGTATCATATTCCTTTATAGTTGTTAAGTTTTTGAAGTAACATATTTCTAGCTGCTAAAGTTATAGGCCTTTTGTACAACTATTTCAAATCTCAGGTCATTAGAATTAAGTTAGAATCTTTGTGAATAACATGTGAGCCTAGCTCTCCCATGATGAAGGCTGGATATGGATATTCATGAGTTATTTCAAAGTTAATAAAGTGAAATGGCAACCAGAGAAAGGAGAGCCTTGGAGTCAGAAACCCGTGGCCACTGCATTGCTGGTATGATGAAGTGGACTTTTTAAATGTGTTATTATTGATTATAGTAAAGCTTTTATTTTTCTATATATTTAATATTCTATGGACCGTATGAGTCAGAACTCATTTAAAAAATTTTAAGGAATCCTTTATGGGATCACTGAAACATTCTTCCTTAATTTCAAATGAGTAAGCCAAGCGTGCGACTTAGCAGCTTTTTATTAGGTCAAACTCTTGGTTTATTGTTGGTTTGGACTTACAAGACTAGTTAGTACTCTGCCTTGTAAATGTAGCTAAAGTGTGAGGCATGTTCAAGAGGAGTAAATTACTTTCCTTATACCTATACAACCAAGAATTTGAAAGTGAGGTTGTTCCAGGTTTTCCCTAAAAATATTTTCATATCAAAATTTAGATGACTTATTTTGGATTACACTTTTATCCATATATTATGAACAAATATAGCTTGCAAGAGTGTGTGTTGCTTATTCTTTACATTTAATAATTAAAAATAACTAAAACTGAATAGCAAATAGTTTATTAGTAAGTACATGGTTTCAGTGACAATAATAAATTCACTTTAGCAGAAGACAATAATCAAATCAAAAGAATAAATGCTTGCTAATCATCAGAAAATCTGTGGCCATTAGGCCTGTCACGTAGAAATCCAAAATCACTCAGAGGCCAAATCTGTAAAATCAAAATGTGATTGAAGACAATTAGTAAAGTGATATTATAGCATCATCATATTCCCTTCTTTTTTTCATTTATCCCTTTCTCTATGCCGTATAATTAAATACTTTCTCCTTATTCTTCAATCAAGAACAAATTTTCGACTTCAAAATAAGACTGTAGAAAGTAAACCTGTATGTGTATGTATTTAACCTCTAACGTTTGGAACATTCAAACATTAAACTAGAAAATAATATGTGTGTAGTGTGTATATGTTTGTTTTTTCTTTCACTATCGTCAGAGTTAACTGTAAACCTAAGTACTTGAATATAACATCTGCTTAAGTGTAAAAAATCCTGTAAATTATCCAACAGCCCCAAATACTCATATCTGTTTTTCTCCTGACTGCTTGTGGCAAAAAGGAAAAGCCAGTGAAAACAATAATCTTTACTATTACATTTACTACAACCATGATAAGTGCATTACTCACTATACTTAACTGGGATATCCCTGCATTCCAGCTAGTTGCTAGATTGCTCTTCTGCAAATGCATATTATTATATGCCCTGGGTATGAATATGGTTGGAAAAGTTGTATGAGAGAAAATTAAATTTTTGGAGAGTCAAATTAAAAGCTTCTTATGCTACAACTAATCTGAACTTTATTTTCAAACAAAAATTATTCTCAATTACCTGTCATAATGGGGGAGTGGTAATGTTTATAGCTATGAAGGCCAACATGTTCATAAAGTGTAGTAGTCATTGCAACAGTTTTACGTCCACTGACAGCCTAAAGATTTCAGTTCTTCTGAAAGAAACTTTTTTTTTTTTTTTGGTTTTGGTTTTTTTCCCAGCTCAGAGAAGAAAGCTTGCATTTTAAGCAGAAAACAGTAGTACCTTAAAGAAGATACGTCCTCTTATTAGTCCATATGGAACAGGTCCATAGTACCTGGAATCTGTAGAATTCTGTAGATTATCACCTTCTAACCACACATGACCTGTTGGCACCTAGAATTATAGCAGAAAGCAGCCCCTTTAAAAAAGAAAAACAAATCTGGGTACTATAAATAAAAAATCATGTCTTTTGGAGGTAGGGAGAAATGTCCTAAAGTTCTCTTTTATAAAATACATTCAAACCCTATAATTTGCATTTTTGCTGTTATTTCTTGCATAATAAAATAACTTTTACTAAATGTTAATAAGTAGTATTAATATTTCAACTTTTAAAAAGACCTATCTTTTTTGCCATATGGTTCCCAAACAATTTGTTATGCAAACCCCAAACTGAGGTTATAAGAGATCAAAACAGTGTGACAGGGTCATTAATTTAATAGACTTCAAAAGAGGTCATTAGGATGCTGACTGAAAATGTGCCCTCCTGTCTCAATAACAGCATAAGCAGGGCAGCCACTCACTCAGCAACATCCTGGGGCCAATACCAAGGCCAGACCTATTAGAATGCTCATGATGAACTAAATGGTAATTGATTGTGACATCAATTACAAATAATCTCATCATTTTATTGGAGTGGGCTTGTCAGAATTCTAATTAAGATCCTTGTTCTGCCTTTATACAGGCCATATCTTCAATGCATTATACTTCAATAATGACCATCAAGAACTAGAAGGACCTATTATAAAATCATCAGTTGTAAAATTAATGATGGTGACCTTCTACTAAATGAAAAGATCCCGTCTTCTCTATGTCCTGTGTATTAACTGGGATATAACATAAATTTAAATTTTTATTCAGTGACAATCATAAGTATATTTAGAACAGAACACATTACTTACAAAAATGCCCACTGTGATATGCGATATTTGCCCGTTAGTACCTGTTCAATATAAACTTTAAAAATTACTCTTCAGTAACAATCTTCAAAATTGCATTTTAAAGTTTCTTTTTTATAGGTTTTGTTACCCAAGAAAGTTGAATTATTGACCAGACCAAAATGATCTATGGAAAGGAATTAATTTTCACTATTCTTTTGACTGATTATTACTTGGCAACCTTATGTGAAGAAAAATATTCATATTAGGTTTAATAAGAAATGACCAGTTTTTTAAAATGTCACAAAATTTTTAAAAACGACTACCTTTCAGAGCAGTTTTAGGTTCACAGCACAGCTGAGAGGAAGGTACAGAGATCTCCCATATACCTCCTGCCCCCACTCATGCACGGCCTCCCCATTACATCCCCACTAGAGTGGCATGTCTGTTACACTGACATCATCACCACCCGAAGTCCCATGGTTTACCTTAGGGTTCACTCTTGGTGGTGTACATTCTATGAATTTGAACAAATGTATGACATGTATCCACATCACAGCACCATACACAGTATTTTCACTGCCCCCCAAATCCTCTGTGATCTGCCTATTCATTCCCCCCTCCCATCACCCCTGAATTACCTTTTGGAAAAATAAATTTATACAAGCATGTAAAATTCGAATTACACTTTATTTAGAGATTACATAATTTTGGAATATATAATTTTGGAATGTCTTATGTAGAAATATTAGCCAAAAATGAATCAAGTTACTTATTTTCATTTAGATACACTTAAATGTTAAATCTATTTGTAGAGAAAGGATAAAATTTTTTGAAAGAATATCAGATATTGTAAGATCATTAACTTCTAATAGTGGAACTAGTCGTAGGTTCTAGGGCTAATAGCAAGGTTCATTCCTACCTATATATATAATAAGTAGATTTATATGTAGTGAAGCATAAGGCTGCTCAAATAGGAAAATGAGTACATCTCAGGTTACAGATGAAAAGAAGAACAAAATAGTATATTTGGAAAAGCTAAGATAAGTCATTAAATATATTCTGAAGTACTGCCTTGGGAGAAACTACAACGTGAACATCTTGGGTGTCTAAATTTCCATAGTTCCTCCTTAATATGTGTTTGTTCCTGAGTTCTAAAAATAGGTAACATATACGAATAGTTAAATACAACTATAAAGTTAGGGACACCAATAAAAGCAAAGGAGAACAAAAATCAAAAAACGAATAAAGATACTAACAATCCAGGAAGATCTTTTTTTGCCCGTCCGATTGATCCAATATACATTTCCTTTCTCTATGAAGCTTTTCCCAGTGTTGCCTGCACATACCAAATACTCTAGATTGTTTAAAACACTTGAAGTCTGCCCTACATGGGGCTCTGGAACATAACATCCTCTTACATGCTTGGCTTTTGTGTATGTCTATTATTTTATGACTGAAAAAGCTAACAGACAATAATTGTGTCATGATCTTAAATCTTTACACCACCTAAACCAATGCTGGAACTCAAATATTTGTTGGTGATTAGTATTAGTTAAGTAGAAATTCTTGTAAAGCACAACCACTTTTGTGGCAGTTATGACCTAAGTTTCTTCCAAATTTAGATAAATACAGTGATGTATTATCTCTGGTATAGTAAAGTTAAACAAGAACAGAAAGGAATCTGCTAAGAGAGACCGAGAACATACCAGCAGAAACCTTTGGAGGAGTGTGACCCAGGCTGTTCACACCTAGTCCTTGACTGCAAGGGGTGGAACAAAAGGGAGGAATAGTAACACAAACTAGTGTTTATACATACTTTTCTGGTCATTTTAATTTAAACAAACACACACATTTGATCCTTAAAACAACCTGTGAAGTACAGTTACTGACATTTAACAGAAGTAGGTTCAAATATGGAACCTGCTACCTCTTACTTACCCGAAGCCCATATATGCTAATACCCATGCATCCATTCATAGCAAAGGAATAACCTTTACATCTTAAGACTTCAATGTTTGATATAAAGTACAGACACAAGGAAACAACCTCATCACTGATGGTACCTTTAATAAGAGCTTCTCTATAAATGGGAAAACCTCTGAGTGTGAGTCTTAAAATCAAAGCAGTCACCTTTGCTGATCTACCTCTCTGTCACTTATTTTCCCAGTAAAACATTGTTTGCAGTTACTCCACTTTTGAAACACATACTTATTTTTGGTATGGGGTAAGGGTGTACACTTTAAAATCAATTTTAGAGGTATACGTTACAGTAAAATGTGCTCGTTTTGTTTCAACACTAGTTTTGAAAAATGTGCATTCCTGTGTAACCACCAACCACAATCAAGATGTAGAACATTACTACTATGCCCAAAAGTTCCCTCCTTTTCCAGTCCACCTCCCACCCCTACACCTCGTCCCAGGCAACTAGTGATCTGTTTCCTGTTTACTAGTTTTACTAAAGTTCATATAAGTGAGATTGCACAGTACATAGTATTTTGTGTCAGGCTTTTGTTCAGCAGTTTTTAAACGATTAATACATGTTGTATATATCAGTCATTCATTGCTTTTTACTGCTGAGTATATATCCCATTGTAAATCACAATTTCTTTCCATGAACCTGTTGATGGATATTTGTGTTGTCTGCAATTTTGGGCTGTTACAAATAATGCACTATGAACGTTCATGTATAAATCTGTTTCTTTTCAGTAAATATGTAGGGGTAGAATTTCTGGGTCTTAAGTGTACGCTTAATCTTAAACTTTTCCAAAGTAATTATACCATTTTACACTCCCAACAGCAATGTATGCGTGTTTCTGTTGCTTCACAACCTTGGTATTTTCAATTAAAAAAATTTTTGCCATTCTAGTAGGCTATTGGTGTCACATTGTGGTTTTCATTTGCATTTCTCTGGTAAGTATTTTTTCTTGTACCTATTAGTGTATCTTTTGTGAAATGTCTATTAAAATATTTTGCCCATTTTTAAAATGGATTATTCTTATTCATTTTAAGAGCCCTTTATGTAACCTGAGTACAGGTCCTTCGACAGGTATTGCAAATACTTCTTCCCAGTCTGGGATCTTTTCTTTTGCAATTTTTAATCTGCTGTAAAGACGATATAATATATTTTTAGGCTCCAGAAATTTCACTTGGTTCTTTTTTATATTTACCATTTCTCCCTCATTATGTTCATCCTCTAGATCCTTGAAAATATTTATAATTGGTGTTTTAGAGCACATGACTGTTAATTCCATTATGTCTCATTTCTGGATCTATTTTTCCTCTAGTTGTGGGTTACATTCTCCTACTTCTTCACATATCTAATAATTTGTTATTCAGCTGAACATTCATTTGTTGAATGGATTTTGTTCTCTTTTTAGAGAGCGTTGAATGTTGAGGTCTGTTTGCTTTTCGGAAGGTGGTTAAGTTAGCTGTGGAACAGCTTATTCCTGTCAAGCCTTGTTTTTAAGCGTTGGGTCTCTCTCACACTGTAAGGGCTAGTCTAGCCCACTCCTAAGGCATGATATTCCAGGGTCTCTACGGAATGCTCTAGATATTTAATGAGATCTGTCCACTGTGGCTGGTCAGAACTCAAATGACTCAGCCCTGTGTGAGCTCTGGGAATTGCTTGGCTGCTGCCAATAGCTGTTTGGTGCTCAGTCTCTAAATTTCACCATAAGCAAGCACAGTTTAGTGTTCAGCCCCAAAACCAAGAGAATACTCTACGTAGATTTCTGGAGATCATTCTGTAGCTCTTTTCTCCCTGGTGGTTTGATGCATAAATTCCAACCACTTGAACTTCCCTATACCCTAATCTCTGTCTCTTCAACTCAGCAAGACCACTGTCCTTTGTTTGAATTTTCCTCCTCGCTCCTTCTGAAAACTGCTTTAAGGCAGAAGTTAGGCAAAGTGTAAGGCTTGCCTTGTTTCCCTGCTCTCAGGAATCCGTCTTGTACTGCCTGCTGCGCATTGTCTGAAAACTGTTTCACATAGTTTGTCCAGTTTTCTAGTTCTTTATGGCAGGAGGGCAAGTTCAGCCGCAGTTACTCCATAATTGCCAGATGTTCAAAGTATCTAATATTTAAAGTCTTATTTTTTAGCATACCTCATAACAATATGAAGAAAATCCTTTTGGTGAGAACTAAAGTTCTTGATGTAAGTAAAGTGTGCCTTTGGCATCTCTGCCTTGCATCCCCTTCAGTGGCATGCCGTGTGTGTCCTCATTTTACCCTTTCCCTA